ACAGGGATAATCCAACCCATCGTTTTATTTTTTCACAATTATATAAACATACCAGAAAATAAATGGAAAAAGAATCCAAAATTCATAATAAATATTTTAAAAAAAAACTTTGCAAAGTCCTTCTTAACAGACTCTTCATATAAAATGTACTAAGTAACTGTTGCTTCCCCCAAAATAAATCACATGGAACAGTCTGGACTGTAGCAGAATTTACGATCTGATCTGTGTGTTATCAGGTCTGTGGTGTAAAATCATAGTAGAGTGGTTACTAGAGGCATGAGTATTTATTTATTTATCCTGTTGATAAGAAATTTTCAGGGATATTACTTATTTAATTATATTACATTAAAAAGCTTAATATACGAGTTTAGTTTCATACCCAAATTTAACACAGTGAAATATATTCTATGCAAAAGTCACCACAAAATCATTATATATGTTCTAAGTTTTAGTTTTGTAGTGGAGTTTTTTTTTATCAATTAATGATTATGTATATTTATGTTTGTACAAACAATATTTTAGTTTTGAAAATTAACAATGAATAAAAGCAGCAAAATAATTGTTGATCACTTATTGGATTTATAATTTACCTGTCTTCTGCAGAAATTTCTCTTAATTCAGAAAATCTGTCTAGTAAAAATTTCTAAGTTCAATTTCTGGTTAACAAAAAAGTCTAAGTACATAATTCCTGTTAACAAATAACTGACAAAATTCTAAGTCCTAAAACCCGCCTAAATTATTGCTCATCCCATATTTTCCGCCTAAGCCTTAGGCGGAATATGAAAGTGCTTAGCAGGATTTTTTACAAAATTCCGTGTCCGTCTTAAATTAGCAGGAAAATCTTATATACACGGAAATTTTAAGCGTTTTCCTGCTTATATTAGGCGGAATCCTGCTATCTTTTTCGTACGGGTAGTTACCAATGTTTTTATCTCACAGTTTGCCCTTCAAGTACCGGGTGGCTGAATTTGACAAATGGTTTTAAGATACAATTTCCTGGCATAAATAAAACATTTGAACTTGCAAGTGAGGCGTGTAGTGCAGCTGGAAAACGGGGACTTTTAAAGCTGAATGAACAATGGAAAAAGATGGTTCTCAAAGAGGTACTTACACGTTGCCCAAGTAATGACGCGGCTCATATGATGTATAGTTATGCAGGCGACGCGATGCGACAAATACTATCAGCTAGCACAGTCATGCCAAATTTCCTTCTAGCATGTTTTGTCTGTTTGTTTTTTCTTTTTATATGTATCCACATGCTTAATTCCTCATTTTTCTTTCGCTGAAATATAATCTTCGCTCAAACATTATTATAATTTCTGTTCCAGAATACACTAATGTAGGGTACTGGGTTGACGGAACAGCAGGTCCAACTAATCCAATATGGCATTTCTCGGACGGTGCGCCTTTTAATTTTGATGGTCCAATACAGTGGTATTACAACCGACCAAAATATAACACTTACGATAAAGATGCATGCATGTCACTTCATAAGGACGTGCTTTGGGCTGACAGATGGTGCCGTCGATATATGTGGTTCATTTGTGAATTTTGATATAGAATTAAATCTATTTTGAACTTACTTTTTGTAAAAGTACATTCTGAAACAATGCATTAGCTTTTTTACCAGTACACGTGCATCAACCAATCATTTCCAATATTTCGATTGGAGGTATTCAAAATCAACATAATAACATCATTGTATACTTAATAAACAATCTTTTACTGAACTTTTGACTGTCTGGTCCCTAAAACATCTAACGTGGAATTAATTTTGCACATTTTTCTTTCTTTAAAAAATGTAAATGTTTATTACATGTATACACTTATAAATGAAATATTGAGAAATATCGATGAAATAAATGAATATTTTCATTTTTTCACATTTATTTTTCACAGTGCAATGAAACACATTTTCCGTATTTTGACTGTTGTCTTGCCAGACTATTTTCTAATAAATTAAGCTGAAACACAAAAAATTTAATCTTTCAAATTAAAACGTAAAAAAAAACACAACAGAAATATATCAAAATATCAGAAATATCATCCCATCAAAATGGTCATCCTCCAAAAATAAACTCCCCTGGATCAAGGTCAACCTCAAACGTCTATATAGGAAAGGGACAAAGCCTACAAGCAGTACAAGGGCCATAACTCAAATAAATCTAGAGAAAAATATCTCAGCATTAAACATCTCTGCAGAAAAGAAACTAAGTTAGCCTATCAAAATTACTTGGAAGATATACTAAACATTAACAACAACATCTCTGAAGAACATGAACAAACACAAACCAGACCAAACACCAAAAAGCTATATTCACTACTAAAACACTCAAAACAAGACTCTTTTGGCATTGACTCACTGAAAAAACACAATAAACTGTATACATCAGATCAAGACAAGGCAACAGTACTAAATGAACAATTTCAATCAGTTTTCACTTCTAAATCCCCTGTTTCTCTTCAATTCCTTGCTGATATGAAGGTACAGGATCAGGCAGATACAGGTAGAGAGGTTCCCTACACATCTTTTAGCCCCCATAACCCCATGTGTGATATTGATATCTCTGTAAAAGGTGTTGAGAAGCTCTTAAAAAACCTCAACTCCCATAAGGCTGCAGGACCTGACCAAATTAGACCCATTGTGCTGAAAAATACAAGTAAAGAATTAGCCCCTATAGTGTCCAAACTTTTCCAAAAATCACTGCAGTCCAGCACTCTACCAGACTTCTGGAAAATGGCAAATGTGGCCCCTGTCTTTAAAAAAGGTAGCAAGTCAGACCCAGCCAACTATCGCCCTATCTCTCTTACCTGTATCTTGTGTAAAACCCTGTAACACATTGTCTCCTCCAGTATAACAAAGCACTTTACTAGATCAAACTTGTTCTATGAATTGAAGCATGGTTTCCGAGAAAAAAGGTCATGTCAATCCCAACTATTAATGCTTATAGATGATATCCTACAGTCAGTAAATCAGAGAAGCCAAGTAGACTTAATCCTTCTTGACTTCTCTAAGGCCCTTGATATGGTCAACCATGAAAAACTTCTGTATAAGCTGCATTTCTACGGTATAAGGGGTCAAACTCTTAAATGGATCAAAGGTTTTCTTGACAACAGGTCACAGTCCGTGGTGGTAAATGGCTCCACATCCAGCTCCATACCAGTCTCCTCCGGTGTTCCCCAGGGCTCGGTCCTCGGACCTCTCTTATTTCTTATATACATCAATGACCTTCCTGTATATGTCCAATCCTCTAAAGTCCGACTATTTGCTGATGACACGGCCATCTATCTATCTCTGACTGTCGCTTCTCATTCTAGCTTACTGCAAAACGACTTACACCAACTTGAACAATGGGAGACAAAATGGGACATGCAATTTAATCCGTCAAAATGCCAGGTTATCCAAATCACAAAACGAAAAACAGTCATTCCAACACAAAACATTCTACATAACACCACATTAGAAACAGTTCCATCTGCAAAATACCTTGGCATTACAATATCAAATGATCTAACATGGAACAAACACATAAACAACATCACCACAAAGGCAAATCAAACACTTGGTTTTCTACGCCGAAACATCAAGGTTCACTCAGAAAGGTTAAAGTCAACTGCATACAAGACACTTGTCAGGCCCCAGCTACACAGGAACTCTCATTGACCAGATAGAGTCCGTCCAGAGAAGGGCTGCTAGGTGGGTCAAACATGACTTTGGCCGTATGTCGAGTGTCACTGACATGTTGACTTCCCTTCAATGGAGGCGCCTTGACCTTCGGCGTATTGACCAACGCCTGGTCATGTTTCACAACATCTTGCATGACCAGGTGGCTATCCCTTTCCCAAAATATATCGTCCCTCTTACAAGATCATCAAGAACATCCCATCCTCATGCATTCCAACAAGTCCAAACTAAAACTGATTACTATAAATATTCATTTCTCCCAAGAACAATAGTCCACTGGAATGCTTTACCACCTGATATCATGAACTTGTCTGGCCCCGAGTTCAGTCTGGCTGTAAGCCGGATTGAACATACGTCTCCCTAAAATACCTTCTCTATTTTTAACCTGTTTTTAACAATATACTCATTTCCATTACTTTTATATTCTTTTATTTCAGCTCTTTTACTAACATTCTTGTCAGTTGACGCGCGTCAAGTCTAGGTTTGACTATATGGAAGATAGATAGATAGATAGATAGATATGTACATGTATTTATTAAACAGAAAATTCAAGTTTTTTTTTTATATAAATACAGGATTTAAATACATCTTGTGATATAGAAAATGACTCGTGGCTTCCACAACTCAGGAAATATTTATTTTCATACCACTTGATGAAAATAAATCTTGTATTTATAGATTTTTAGCTGTTTAGCCGAAGGCTCAGGGTGAGCTATTAGTATCAAAGGGGAATGCTCCGGCGTCCGTCGTCCGTCGTCATGCGGCAATAATCGTCTTCTTCTCTGAAACTACTATGCAGATTTACTTCAAATTTGGTCTGTAGCATCCTTGTGACAGTCATACTTAAATTTGCTCATGTCATTTCAATTGGCCCCTTTTAGGGGTCAGCAGAGCTAAAAATAGAAAAACCTTTAAGCATCTTCTTCTACAGAACTAATGGATGGATGATCACCAAACTTTGTCGGTAGCATTCTTGGGTAGTCTTTTACATGAGTACGCTAAATGTAGTCTATCGTTATTGCGCTTTTGCCTTACGCAGAATGCGCATGCGCAAAACGCAACATCGGTTGCTATGGAAAAATCGTATTGTAAAAAGGTCCGTCTTTTTTCTCAATAACAACAACAAAAATATATCAATGAAGTATATAAATATTGCTTCTAACTAATTTCATTCAAATATTACTTAATAAAAGTCAGTTATAAATGTACACCAGCTCTATAACTTTAACTATGCTCAATCATTTTAAACTAAATAGCTTATCGATATTGTCCGCGTTTTCCCAATATGTTTAAAATGTTCGATTAAGGCGTCCGCGTTTTAGACTATATCCTAGTTTTATAAATGTGAGTTGTTCCCCTTAGATGAAATCACTCCATTTGTTCAGTTTTTTTTCTTATCTCGAGCATGGTCACGGAGTCCAGCGAAGTGAGTATACGCGTTATGTTATACGTTTTGCTGAAATATTCATAATGTTTGCAATTAAGGAACGTATTTCCTTACTTTTTACAAACTGACAAATTAATTTCTGTTGGCGAATGTTTTTTGATGATAGAAATCTATGTTGAATTTTGGATTTTAAACAATTTATGGGAAAATAAGTTCTTCCAAAAACTTTATAAGCCGCTCTGTTACATTTTTGTTTTTCATCTGCTGCGGCATGTAAGTTTTTGATTAGACCAGTTACGAAACCTAACCAGAATAACATTGGTTGATATAACATTATTTTTCATTTGAAAAAAGGCCTACCCTAGTCCAACTAATTGTACTGCGCGACGAGATATTGTGCTATTTTCGTGTCTGGGCAATAAATCGCCTCGCGAGATTCTGCCCCAGAACGAAAATTTCTCGGAATCAAGCTTTGCACGTCAATATATTTTGACTAAAAATACCCTTGTCCCAATTCTAGTGTAGTTTGTGATAAAACAATTATTTTAATATTTAAAGTATCAGAACATTAATACCGTCATCAAAATTGCCGATTTCACTGACTACAGTCGGACATGACATGTAGGAGCTACGCGAGACCTCATATGACGTAATTCGCGGGAACCCATTAGAGTCGAGTTGTGTACTATATTTAACATTTTTGTTGACATTATTTCAATATTTATAATTCAAAAGAACGTTTTTATTTATTTTCTTTAATTTTTTAGTACTTAAATAAAATTATATTGAATACAAAGGACAGTACATCATCTTTTTCATTATCTTTAAAAAAAAGTAATTTCTAAAAAAGTTGAAAGCACATGGGTTCTGTTTTCTCAACTGTCCCCGCAAATTAACCCGTAAAAGTCAATCTCGTAATCACGTGGTCAAACATTTTGGCAACATGGCGGCCAAGTGCTGATTATTTTTACCTCTCGGAAACTATTAGGTAGTTTATGTTTATAATAAGTTTTTGATGTGTCCATTTTTGGCTTATCAACAGATTATACATAGTTTTATCAAAGTATGCTTTACTTTACTTCATGGCAGGGTCAGTAAATGAATACAAGCCTGTCAGTTTCTTGGCACGATTATTGGTGGACTTTCCCTACAGGTCTGTCTATAGCGTTCACATCATGTCATAATATATAAACCAGGGCTCATCCGGAAGGGCGATTCAGGCGAAAACTTCGCCGTGTATATTCCAATTTCGCTCTCCCGATTGATCAAAGAGAAGTCAACATCGCCGATAAAATCTTAATTCCCAAATAGTAATTACTTAGCGATGTAAAGAGCAGAGATTGTATCCGCCCATATGACGACCGCTAATTATGATTATCCAATCAGAGCGTCGCTTTATACTACCCTTCTACCTGTAAGCAAAGCGATAGACCGCCTACTCTAAACAGTAAATAATGAGAGCATTGGCCCGAAACGGTATAATTGTGTGATAGTTTTGCGAGTTTAATACGGGATTTGGCGATAATTATAGATTGTTTTTTCCCCCGATTATCTAAACACGTGCAATATTCCCTAATTGATATACGCGATGCACTTCGATGGCGGGTTTTTAACCCGAGTAAAGGCGATGTGCAATGGATTTTTCACGGCTATCACAAAACTGTTAGTCAATTAAAAATAATCAATTTCATTAATGATCAGCGACCGGATTAAAAACTTAATCATAGTTTTGAATGATTTCAGTCTGTTAACATCAATTTTTACTGTAAAATTGTTATGTCGCTCACGTCATGGCTACAAGGCGAAATGCCGAAACCGAGCAACTTAAGAAAGTTACTGATTCTGATAGTTACACCTACGCGAAAATTTAAGAAAGCCAATTTGCAAAAATCTTGCGATTGGTATGTTGTAGACAGTGGGGGTGTTTGGCATTAAATGCCAAATTTGACACAGTTTACGCACGTGGGCACGACATCCCGGCTAAACTACATATTGGTCGTATATCATGTAACGTATATAACAACAATTTGTCAGGAAAGAAGTGTTCTTTTTGTTTCAATATATATATTTGTTTTAATGTCGTAAATATGACGCTCAGATTAAGATTTATCAATATTGTAAATTTTAAAAAGCATTTTTTATAAAGATATTACCGAATTTAACATTTCATGAAAATAAAGGGAGGTAATTAGAAATTAATTTTCTACAATTTCTCAGTCAATTTTTCAATAAGAAATGAATGTATGTAATTTTAGTGATCAAATATAATGTGCACAAATGTTTGCAGTACATATTTTACATATTCTTTGATGTTTGAAAATTGTTTTATAAGCATAATTATATGCATATAACTGTGACATTACAACAGTTAGGAATTTGAAAGAAATTTCTGTTACCAGAACAGAATAGAACAGATATTATTAATCAATATCCAATGTGACTTCAGTGAGGAAAGTAAAAAATATAAAAAAAATTTTATTCATATTTGCAGCTCAAAAACATTTAGATGCCATTGCCAGATCTACTATTAATTAATCTACTATTAATTAATACTACTATTAATTAATCTACTATTAATTAATACACTGGAGAAATATTATATGTGATGTTAATTGTGTTTATATTACAATTAAAGGATGTATAGCCATGCATGTTAATGCATACACATTGGGTTGTTTCCATTCTCCCTAATTTTCGCGAGGAAGTCACTTCTCCCTAAAATTTCCCCCCAGGATGAGCCCTGTAAACACGTACGCTGAAGACCTTAAGCTGTTCCTTTTCTATTGGATTAAAGGTGTCATGTCTTGCACATTTCTGCATAAATATAAATTTTACCAACAGATAAATTTATTCATGTCATGTCTACTAATACATATTTTATAAAGTAGTGCATGCATACAACATCTGAAACATGTATGTAACAGATGAGTACTAGAAGATAAGTAAGGTAAGATGGCTTATAGGCATAGTCACAAAGCCTAAGGATACAACTAAATGGTGACATTGTCATGTTTTTTCCTGGCGCCCAACAGATAGATAATACGACCTTGCAAAAATCAAAAATCGATCTATAATTTGGATATTTATAGTTATTTTTAAGTTTGTTTGAAAGGGGGCCAAGTGGGCTCAGGTTCCTTGAGATAGGGGGCCATTTTAAAAATTTTGGGGCCAAGTACAAAAACTGAAATAAATCATTATTGTGAAAAATGTCAAATTTTGATACCAACGGTGTGATCATGATACATGATTATGTATATTCATTTGAATACTTAATCGATTTTCCACGTAGAATTTACCAGAAATGCACTAATTCATCAGGGATCATTCTGGTCAGGATTTTTAGTGAGAGATTGTCTCTCATTTGAGAAATTTTAATGAGAGAAATTAGATTTTCTTGAGAGATTTAATTTTCATGATGGGAGAGGTTAAAATATGGAAATTTCTAACTTTTTAAAATCACTGTACATATAAACATGGTTTATCTAATGAGGATATAAGAAGATGTAGCTCTGTTTGTTACAGTGATTTTTGTTTTCACTTTTTAGCTCGACTTTTCTATGAAAAGGGGAGCTATCCTACTCGCCCCGGCGTCGGCGTCGGCGTCACACCTTGGTTAAGTTTTTCGTACCACCCCACTTTATTTCAGAAGTATTACAAGTATGGCTTTGAAACTTACCATACTTGTTCACCATCATAACCTCCATCTACAGACAAGAGTACATAACTCTGTCAAGGTTTTTGACAGAATTATGGCCCTTTTTTGACTTAGAAAGTGTATTGAGCTTGGTTAAGTTTTTTGTACCACCTCACTTTATTTCAAAACCATTGGAGGTATTGCTTTGAAACTGACCATACTTGTTTACCATCACGACCTTCATCAACAGACAAGAGGACATAACTCTGTCAAGGTTTTTTGACAGAATTATGCCCCTTTTTGACTTAGAAAATACATTGAATATGGGTAAAATCCACTTATTGCCTTAACCCTTTGAGATATTGCTTTGAAACTTTTAATGCTATTTCACATCATTACCCCCATCTGTACGCAAGAGAAGGTAACTCTGTCAAGGATTTGTTTTTAAAAATTAAGGCCTTTTATCGACTTAGAATCTTGGTTAAGTTTTTAGTACCAGTCCACTTTTTGACTGAACTGTTTGAGATATTAATTTGAAAGTTGGAATACTTGTTTACAATCATGATTCCCAAACATGTCCAGGAGAAGGTAATTCTGTCAAAGATTTTATTTGAATTATGGCCCTTAACTGTCAATGTTTTGTATTATAGGCAAGCAGTGTTCAAGGGTATCACACAATTCAGTAAAATAATTCTTCACTAAATATCTTAATGCTCATGGCCATTGTTCACTTTAAAAATACAGAGATTCTTGTATTGCCTTTTACTGCAAAAACTTTTTTTATTGGCAAGCAATAAAAAAGTCGAGCGCGCTGTCTTACGGACAGCTCTTGTTTTATTCATTCTATGCCTTTTCTTTTGTGAATTTTTAAACATAATAAAATTCTAATTGTGAAAAATAAATATAACACTTTCATTCTGAAATATAAAAGAATTATACATGGATATCCGCTACAACTATTATTTGCAGCCAATGTTCCTAATGGACAACACTGTACTGTACAGAAGTGATTGTTGAGATTTGAAGAATATTTTTTATAACCTTACATTTTGTTTTCTATATGATTCTCTTCACACACCCACAGGTGCTCGTCCAGTCTTGGTGCCCATATAAAAAAATGAAGTTTAAAAAAAAAATTGAAAAAAAAAAAAACATCAAAATAACTATTTTGGGTTGAGTGTAAGAAAAAAAAAATTTGAAATTATTTTTTTTCCCTATACAGTAAAAACTCGCTAATGAGACCAATGAAGGGACTTTACAAATCTGGTCTTAATAGCGGGTTGGTCTCATTAATGAGTTTGGTCAAACAGAAAACCAGGCAATATATTAAGGGATACCATGTACTGTACACATGTTTATTTCTGGACTAACCTTTTTCAAATGAAAAGATATAAAGCATACACTA